TCACAAAAAATCTCAGCCGCCGCCCCTCGTTCGATTCAAGTACGCAACCACGCCTACCGCATCTCCGGGATTTTGAGTGTACATAGATGTAGCCTTATAATGGGATCACTCTATATGGTACACTTGATCAATTCATTTATTTCAACTTTTTCAGGCGGGTCAACGCTTTGTTATCTCTTCTCTGAGCAGTTCGGTCGAGAATATGTTATGTATTATTTTGGGCAAAAGCTCACCTATTTGCAGCAGAAAGTATGTTTGAGCTCTGCTCTTATCGTCTCTCGTTCAAATTTTATTGTTTAGATCGACGACAATTCAAATCGATTACTGCCTTTTCTTCTGTTTGCTCGGATTTTCCCAATTTCACCGTCATGGTTGCTGAACATAGTTGCGCCATTCCTCAATATTCCGTTGAAAATCTTCGTCATTTCAGCTTTCATAGGTATGAGTGCTGTTCTTGAAAAGCCAAGTCAAACTGGTTGGCAGTAGAAGTCTAAGCAGGCAAAATTCGACCTACTATTGTTGTGCACGAGTTGAAAAACTTGCACGACAATGGTTTTTAGCGACGGCGTCATTTGGCGCTACCGCCCCTTCTCCTTCCACGAAACGTTAGCTGACTTCCTGCTTCAGAAAATGACATTTGTTTGGCCCCATTCAGCGCCACGCCCCTTTCCACCAAAAGTATTAACTTGCATACTAGGGTTTTTTGGTGTCCTGGTTACGAATATGTCATTAATTCGTCGCGCCGCTGCTAACGTGAGGCACTCTGATCACCTGCGTTCTGCTAAGGCTGAACCAGGCAGGAAAGGAATCACTGTTTCTCCCAGGTTTAGCCTCAGCAGAGCGCTAAATGACGCTGATGATCAAAATCGATAAAACATCAAACCACCCTATTACGCAAGTTTTTAGCAATTTTGGTGAAAAAGATGGTGTCGCTACATTGGCCATAGACAAATATCATGTCGTGAGGGGCACCGATGTACCCTATGGGCTAAGTTTCAGCAAAAAATTCTGGAGCTCTTGGGTTATCAATAGTTGTTTGGTAGTGCCGGAAAAGTTGCTGGCATCAATTTAGCGCAGTCTTTCTCATATGTATGAGGCGCTACAACTTGTTAAAGAACCCCAGTATAAAGTCTTACAAAGGCACCTCGAAGGGAATTAAGAATATTCTTGTTGTTCATTTCAGCTCTTATAGCTGTCGTGATTTGGGATCATTCCCTGATGTAGTGAATGTGAAGGAAGTTCATCCGAGTTCAGCTCGGATTATTTACGTGTTTACGTTCCGACACATTTTGAGCTGTTTTTTTTTCAGGTTTAGCTCCATACAACTTCATATGTGTACAAGCAGGTTATATACTTTCCGAGCTGCGATCATGGGATGACATATTCAGGTGAGCCACTGGTAATCGCTCTGTTTCTCTTCGAGAATTCTCAAACCCTCTTGTCAAGTTTGAGGCAAGAATTGTGCATACTACGGTTGCACCTCTGTGCCTTTGAATAGCGCCACTAATTTGACAGATTCAATGCAGCGCCATCTTTTCTGCTGTGACATTGCTTCGAGCGCTTTGTTTGCTGAGGCGCGTGCATTGCCAGCAATGCAGAAACACGCGACACGGGAGTATGTCCATAGCCGGCAATGCACGAGGCATTTGATGTGTTAGGCAGCGTCCAGACTTTGCGATGACGTGCGTCGGCGCTGCAACTGCAACCTGCTATACGCATGAACGCAGCCGCAGAAGGGAATCGATCGGCGCCGACCGCTCGTGTTTTGAGAGAGGATGGCAAATAGGAGGGTACCAGATTATGTGGAAGCAGCGCCCAGCTCCTTGTTATCTTACACTGTCTTGAAAGGCAAACGGCCAGCACCGATCGATTCCCGTCGTCGGCTGCACTGGGTCGTTCGTGGTGGTAGCGCGCCCACACGCGTCATCGCGATGTCTGGAAGTTACATTTGATACATGCTACTATTTAATATGATAATTTTGCGTGCACTATCATTAACATGGAATCCATACGTTTAGTACGTCAACCATGCTGAAGCTGTTCTCCATTGCTCTTCTGCCGTTAGCTTATGCTATATATGTTCGACCCCAAGCGCAGAAACATCAGGTTGGTTTTTTGGGTCACCTTGCTGTACTTCATAACTTACCCTAACAATAAGGTAGCTTCATCGAACGTCCACAAGTAACCTAGCATTTGTTTATTTTACTGGCGTGCTCCCAGATTTACTCCACTTTTCGAGATCGTTAATTTACACTGACACGTGCTCATTTCCACACAGGGCACATCGTTGGGAATCCCTAACAGGGGGGTCGTGTTAAGCTGCCAGGAGGTGGGAGGGGGGTCGTGCAAGTTGTTCCCACCTCCCTCTCCCGCTCGACAGCAAAATTTTTGGAAAAAGTAGGGAAGTTTTCGGGAAATTTTGGAAAAAAGGCAGGAAGTTGGGGAAAATCTGAGAATTGGTAGAAGGGGGGGGGTCGTATTGTCTCGCGGCTTTTCCTGTTTCACATGTGCTATTTACCCCCCCCCCCCCCCCGCTCGACGGCACGGCTCGATTCGATGAGGAGGGAGAGAGGGCCGGAGGGGGGGGGGTCGTACTCGGTTAAAATCCTCAACCAGTGATGTGCCCTGTTTCCACATCTTGACCCTTGCTCAACATATCCAACTTTCTTTTCTTCGCATTTTCACTTGGGTGCACCCTGTGCGTTCATTTGGGGGTGCAGCATCAACTGTGCTTACGGAAAGGACCACCGGGTGGCTCACTGCTCTGTATCACTCCCAATATCATTCCTACAAGATGGTGAGGCCGTTCCACCGCTGAATAGCTCTTTCCATTCCGAATAGTGATAGTGGAGTGATAAGGGAAGGAATTGATATCGTTACGATAGACGCGAGTGAAGAAATTTTTTTCTGTAGACGACCATACATATAAATCTTTTTAGTTGCAGCTCATTGCGACTTGTCCGGAACCAGAACCGCGAAAAATGGAAATCGTCTAGGAATCTCCGTTGTTGTTTGTGCTATCATTTGGTTGTACATCGACATTCAGTGCCTCGAATTTCGTGTGGAATTGTACAATACTTGTGTAACTCACTTAATATCTACTTATTTACTTTAATTATGTCGATCCAGAGGATTGTTTCTATTGCCAAATGTAGAGCAGTATGTGCCTTTATTCAAAGACCCGATGTCTTGGTGCTCAAAATGCTATAACATCTCATCTCATTGTTCACTTATTCAGATGTCAAAGCGAAATTCATTACTATATAATACGTTGTCAATGTTTAGTGAACATGAAAACTGCAAAAAGTTCTGTTCATTTCTTGTTTATAAACAGCTCATAACAGGTGTTATACACCTGGGAGGTTCGGTTTGAAGTTGTTATAAAAGATGCTGAGTCAACGTGAAAACGCGCTAACCGTGTCATAATACAAGTTTATATATGCAAGTGTTGCAGCCGAAACCAGTTGTGGTCACTCACTCAAGGGTGACTCGAGGTAGGTGACCCTCGAGTGAGTGGCCATGGGTAGGACTACTATGGTATGATCGCACCTCGTTAATGATTTCTCGCACCTAGGGTGGGAGACATCATGAGGTGTGGAGCGACCTCGCTAAGCACAGGAATGTAGTGACTGAGTGCTCGGGTAAAGAGAGATCACGTTGCTACCTAAAGCGGCATAAATCCATTTGGAAATTTCGGTAGTGAGGATAGAGAGATTGTTATAATTGCAGAAAATCATTGTTCGGATAAAAAGCAGAAACAAGTAGAACAAAAACGAAAGTAGGCTCTATTAACCCCTTACTGCCTCATTCTTCCGAAGTGTAGCGTCTGTTTCACGAGCGAACTCTCGGGTGGATAC